CCCCCCCCCCCTACTTTATGTAGAAAACAATTTTGTATTTATTTTTTTTAGTGTCAAAAAAAAATCACGTGAATAATCAATTCTTTCTTCGATCGGAATATGTCAACTTTTTATCACAACATTCAAAAAATTTCTGTTTGCGAATCGTTGGGATACTTGGGAAAAAAAAATTCTTCAAATAATTAGTCTCATGAGCAAGTCAAATGAATTCTCATTAAAGTGAGTAAAAGGTCATATGAAAACCCTTATAAGAGGAGATGTTGTTGATCAACGCTTCATCGCTCCATTTTTCATTTTCGTCGTCTTCAATATTACATGTGATTGCTAAAAGTTCCCTTTGACGGTTGACGGCAATTCGCACAGAACTCACATTTGGAGTAACTGCCATCACACCATAGTGTCGCTGCTACTCTTTCCAATTGCAGAGATATGTATAATAAACCTCACATTTTTAGCTTTCTTTCTAGGTTGATGTCCGGTTTTCTTTTCGTGGAAGGGACGGATGATAAATAGTACTTTTCGTCACCAGGCCGAAAGAATATTATGTGTCATTTGTCCGTAGACAAAAAAAAGTAAAATGTTGTGACATCACAATCTAAGCAACACCCCCTCACCCCTCCGTCGCAGTCGTCACCAAAGAGGATAGACCTGAGTACACTGAGAAAAAAATCTCCCAAAAATTAGTGTGCTGTCCCCCAATGCCGGGACATAACATGGGGTCGTCGAAAAATTCATAAACGGCACCCTAATTTTTGGTGGGACTCCGGCCACTTTTTCGGGGGATTCCCGTAAAAATTAGTGTGCCACATGCGAATTCTCCGATGACTCCCTGTTATGTCCCAGCGTTGGTGAACAGCACACTAATTTTTGGAAGGATTCTCACAAAATTACGATGTATTTTTTTCTCCGTGTAGAGGCCCGGATCGGGGGGTTTGACTGACTCCAAAAATGTTAGTTGGTACCCCACGGGAAAGGCGGCGTCCCGGTCGAATTGTCGGTAAATGTGAGTCGGGTGCGTGAGTAACTCGGCAGTAGCAGTCCCGCTGTGACAGGGACAGGTTCGGAGGGGGATTTTTGTCCTTCTTGTACTCAATGTTTACTTTATGTTTTTCAGTTGATTTATTCGCCGACTAATTAATATTAAGGGATGAAA